TGGCAAATGTTAACTCAGCTGTCACTCCACCCAGCACTGCCTTCCAGCTGGCTCTGGGATGGACAGGGAAAGGTTTTTAGTGGCAATGCTCCTAAGTAACAAATGTAGGATGAAGAAAAGTCTGTGCAGGAAGGCTGCAGGGTGGAAGAGAGATGCAAGAGCCAGGGCCAAGAGTGCACAGCCTCTGACTTTCCCAGGACATGCTAGGCTGAGACTTTGCCTGTAATTCTTCTTATAGAATTTTCCCACATTATTGGCAACTGCAGTTTCCTTGGAAACTTTGTCCCACTCTGTGTTTTCCTTAAACATGATACCTAGGTCATGGGATAATGCAGCAGCCCCTCCTTGAAAACCACAATGTCCTTTTTTCCTCACCATTTTTAGTTTTCCAGGAGAAAAAGAAACAAATATGAAAGAGGGAAGAGTAAGATCTGAAATCCCAGAGGCAAATAACCCCATCTCTCCTGTCCAAATGGACTACATACAACTTTTCTGAGAGTTTTGTCGTAAGTTGAACACTAGGACCAACTGCTCTGTGAGCAGGACACAGTGTCACCAGCCCCTATGTCTTCCCCTGGGTAGCCCCCCTGGGGCACTAGCCCCAGCTGACAGAAGAAGAACCTCACATGGCTACAGGGACTTGCAGTGCTGCTCACCACTCCTGTAGTTTGCTTTCTGCAGATACACACTGTCATCACTGGGCAGGGATAACCTAGTGCAGCTCTGCCTGCAGAATGCAAGGGGTTTGGTGCTGTTGTCTGTGGTCCTGCCAAACAGAGCTGCTGTGCTGCTGTGGGTCTCAGGAAGCCAGCTGCCCGTCAGCACATCCAGATCCAGCTGCAGCCCCTCCAGCAAAACCCTGGTTGCTCCATTAGGACCATCTGCATCCTTACACTACAGCCACTGCAGGACCAAGCAGACCTTTTGGGGAACCCTCTTGCTGCAACCCTTTTAGTCTGTGTTCCTCCAACCTGCTCCTGGAGCCAAAGCCCTTCACAGAGAAGCATCTGCAGGTGCTTGGTGGGCTCCCATGTCCACCTCCCTCCTTTTCTTACCTGCCACGTTCAGCTGTCCACCCACAAACCAAGAGACCCTGCCCTCACGCAGGTCACAGTCCTGGACAGATTGGAAGGGGGTGATCCAGGTGAGCCGGCTCCTCCCTAGTGCTCCCCAGAAGGCATCTCCATGCTCCACTGACACCTTGTACAAGTCCTGGTGGTTCTTGGGTCCAGGGAAGGCGATGGCTTCAGGCATGTAGACAGTGAGGGGCCCATGGCTCCAGGCTCGGGCAGCTGCTGACCCAGGGTGGCATCTGGGAGCCTGAGGAAGAGCTTTAGGGCAGCAAACCTTGGCCAGCAGCCTGGCCATCACTACAGGGCACCTGCCTCTCACCACAGAGATGAGCCCAGAGCCCGGCCTGGGCAAGAGGTGCCCCTGTGGGAGCTGGGGCTGTTTCACCCTGGCCTGAATGAACACAAAGCTCTGCTGAACAGCAAGCTGGGGTTCCCCTTCTCTCCCACCTCTCTCCACTCCTTCTCTCTCCCAGAGCACTACAGGGAAAAGAAATTCAATCCCTTTAAGGGAGGAGAAAGGGGTGGGCTGTAGAACTATTTGACTGAAAATAACCTTCATGCTAATCTGAGTCCTGACGGCCAGTCTTGAACAAGAGCCAGGTTCAGTGAGTGCCTTGGATCCCTGCGGGGATTGAGCTGCCCAAGCCAGACTCTACCAGCCTGCTCCTGCTCCCACTTGCCCAGGGCTGCCCTGTGTCGTGACACCCTTCTGCTTCACCCTTGCTCACCTCCCTCCATTCATCATCCCATCGCCTCACTCCCCACAGCCCCCAGTGCAGCCCCCTGGTCCTCCCCTGGCCATGAAGGCATGCTCACCTGTGAAAGTTAAGGTCCTCTCCATGCTCACCTCTGGGGCTGGGACCGTCCCCTTCACAGAATTAAGGCCCATTTCCTGCAAGGCACTAAACTGTGGTGTCTCTGATGGGGTCAGGGAAGGTTTTGCTCTTCTAGCTGTCAGCCAGCCACACAAGGGGAATATGGCATCCCATTCCACCTCACTGCTGGACAGCTGTCAGAGCTGTACCTTCCAACAAGCTGGACTCCAGACTCCTCCCACACACTTCAGACTACTCTGTACCACAGGGTGAACTGGGAGCACTAATCGAGGCTGTGGTGGAGCAGGAAGCTTGCCCAGAAACACTGCAGCCCATCTCCACCCACTGAGACTTCCCACTGTAGCAGAGCTAAGCTGCCACTCTGCCTCCAAACAACTTTTTTTCTGCCTCACTTTTCTTCAGGCCCTACAGAACTAGTGTTTTATTAAGGCAGAGCTTGCAGATTTCTTTAATTTCATTGACTGTGTTCTCCTCCCTTCCTAGAGGGAACAAGCAAAGAGCAGATTGTCTCCCCCTGCAAGCAGGGCTGTTCTCAGCCAGGCACACCAATAGGATCAACAGCAGGAGGAGAGGGTCTGCGCTTGGCTCTTCACAGTGTGACACTACTGGTGGTCTACATGTCTAATATATCTGGTGAACATACTGCACACCAGTATGGGAGATGAGCACTATTTGATGGCAGGTGTGCTCATCCCAAATCACACACTTGGATTTGTTTCAGAGCTGCCCCCAGAGCTAGGTAAGGACCTACATGGGCTCTGTCCCCCTAGGGAAATGCAGGCCTATGGGCTTATAGCTCCTCCACAAAGTCAAGCCCAAGCAGCCTCATTCTACAAGTAAAGTCTCTCATTTCCTATGCATGTCTGTTCTGCCTCAGCCTTTTTCCCCTGAAAATTTAAGGCTTTTTCATCAGATCATCCATAGAAGCCATTAGAGGGCATGCAAATATCATCTACTGCCCTGATAACTCAGAGCTTACCTTTCTGGAAATCCCTGTCAGTGGCCTTCCCTCTTAACAAGCTCCTTCCACTCCTCAGGCCAAGTGGGCCCTGCATCCTGCTCCTGTCAGAGGGGATAAGCTAAAGATCCACTGAGCTCTAACACCAGGGTGCCCTCAGCACCGGGGCTGTTCTGGATGCTGAAGTAACTTGTTCTCTGGGGAGCTGCATGCCATCATGCCTAACTTCAGCCCCAGGTACAGGCACATCCCATTCAGCTTTGTCTATCCCTGCAAAGGGAGAGCAGCACTGAAGTCCTGTCTTCTCCATGGCTGAGTGGGGAGGAAGATGCAGACCTCTCTCTGTGCTGCTTTGGAGGTCTCACCTCTCTCTGGCTATGGCATTACCTTTGGATGAATTCACCCTCCTTGAACCACAGGCCATTCACAGGACTCCTACACAGTATTCCAATTCAGTTTTATTCTTGTTCATATCTTTACAGAAAATGGCACATAAATCACAGATGCTGGATGACTAGAAGTTGTTACAGCTCCATATGTCAAACACCTCAATACTGAATTCTTTTCTCACTGTATATACATTATTTACACACCATAGGCTATCATCTAACACGTCAAACGACCAAGGGACAAAGACAAACAGGGGCTGGATGGAGGGGCTTAACCTTTGACTGAAGTAAAACAGTAGCTCTGGGGAAAGGGTGCTCACAGCTGAAAGCAGGACAGAAAGGGTCACCTGGAAGTCACTGTCCTACAGCTTTTGGGGGGAAATAGCACCTTACCAAGATATTCGGAAGGTGATGGTACCACAGAGCAGGTTTGGCTGCAGGGGTCTGGGAGTGCTTGTGTGGGGCCAGTAGGGAGGCATATATACATGTTAAGGGGTGGATCTACATGGCTGTCATTCCCTTTAACACTCAGGGCGAGCTGGAAAAATTTAATTCAATAAATACATTGGGCAGATGTTGTTTTCTCACCTGGAATAATGTATTCAGTAAATAAATACACTGTCTGGCCCTTCTGCAGGGGTACAGGAGGCTCCATGGGCTTTGGTGTTTGGGGCGGTCAGACCCGGCTGTGCTGGCCAGCCCTGCAAGGCCAGCAGTGTGAGCTGGGTTCACCTCAAGGTGCCAGGTGGGACCAGGCTACTGTGCTCACGGGATAAACCTGCCTCTCCTTGCCAAATGGAGGCAAAACTCAACTACCTTAAAGCTGGAGCACCTTTCCAGCAGACCCCAGCGCTGGGCAGGGAAAGATGGGTGGAAGGTGAAAACCACCCTGGATGGAGAGTCCATTTCATGCAAATACTGCCATGGGCTTGTCCCACTGGGGGAAGGCAGAAGGTCTGCCTGGGCATGGCAGGACAGGGTGCCAGGGAGAGGGGCCCGGGTAGCACTGAGAGAGACGTGCACCAAGGAGGGCCATGGCAGCAGGGGAACAGCTTGCTTGGAGATGGTGAATGGGGTCTGGAGCTGGAGCAGGAGGAGAGAACCCCCAGAACTGGTCACAAGGCCAGAGGGACCCAGAGACTTGGTGTCCTCTCAGGTGGTGACGATGACGGGACACCTCCCAGTCCCCTGAAAAGAAAGAGGGGGATGAGGTGGGGAGGAATGAGAAAGGCCCAGTGGGGCAGAGGAGTGAGGGGCAGGGGTATGCTCAAGAGGAGCCGGTGGGGTGCACCCCTGCCAGGCAAGCAACCCCAAGTACAGAAACCAGTGCCCTGCTCCCCAGAAAAGGGTGGCCATGGGGGACCTGGTGGTCCAAGGAGTCTGCAGCCCCTGGAGGACACAGTGTCTGTCAGGAATGGCTTCTGCCAACTC